GGGGTAGAAAGAGGCAGGTGGGGTGACACGAAGGCCCAGATGCGCCTCAAATGTTTGGGCACGCTATGCAGCTGCATATTCTGCGTATGAGTAAGGATGACCATGCCTGGGAGCTGGCAAGTGGTTCCCGACCTACCGTACCCTCACTCTCCCTTGCTGTGCCATTGCTGCTTGTCCTGCCTCCAGTGGACATGGAGAACAATTAATCACTGAGGGCAGGAGGCAGAGCAGTAGGCATGGGGGATTATGAACAGCCCCTCCAATCAGGCCTAACATGACCGCCCCAAATTGTCCCTTGAAATCCTCCGTCCGTGCTTGGTTCCAGCTGGCTGGAGCACCCAGCTCTCATGCACAGGCACCAGCAGCCCCAAGGGCAGAACTGACTCTTTTATTTATTATGTTTTAAAATGTTGTGATTGTGAAGTTAATTTTATGATTTCTGGGACCTGCCTCATGGGATTCTGCAGCGCAGGATCGGCTGGGACAGGTGGCAGGAGCTTGTAGGGCTTGGGGACAGCCAGGAAGTTATTGCGCATGTTGTGCAGCTATTGATGGTGCTGATTTATTTCAGCTTAGCAAACAGAGCGATTTTCTTTGAAAGAAATGAAAGGCTTTAAAAATGTTTATTTTTATAAAAATATGTATTTTGTATGGGAGGTTGTGGAATCTCCATCCTTGGAGATATCTAAGAGCAGGTTAGATGGACATCTATCAGGGATCATCTAGATCAGGGTGGGCAATAATTTTAGCAGAGGCACCATTTCAGAAACTTTTGAAGTGGCCCTAGGCTGCCCTGGAAGGGACGGAGCCTTGGGCAGAAAGGGAGGGGCCAGGACACTTCTGTGCTCCCCCACTCACAGATCCTGATTGGCCTGGGAGCGGGGAGCCCAAGAAATCTTTGCCCCCGCCCCTCCCCCAGATAGAACCACCAGCTGTTCTGAACAGCTAGTGGCTCCCTCTAGGTACCTGTGCCCCTTGTGACGGCAGGAGACTTCGCACACAACTCCCCCCTCCCCCTGCCCGTCAAGCCCAGGCCAGTTGGGGCCTTGGGGCAGGGAACATGCAAAGTCTCTTGCTCCCTGCCCCCACCCTGCGAGGGATGTGTGGTGCTTAGAGTGAACTGCCAGCTGTTCATCGGATGGTTCACTCTAAATGCCGTGCGCCACTGCTGGGGGAGGAGACTTTGCGTGCTCCCCCATCCCTAGGCCCTGATTGGCCTGGAGACGGGACCAGCAGAGTGTCCATGGGCAAATCAACCTGCTTGGTAGGTCGGGTCCGGCCCACAGAGGCTCTCTCGCCCACCTCTAATCTAGATGGTACTTGGTCCTGCCAAGAGGGCAGAGAACTGTTCTGGATGACTGCTCGAGGTCCCTTCCAGTTCTAGTGTTCTAGGTTTCTATGAAATACCAAAGAGAAATGGCTTTAAGAAAGCCCAAGTCCTGCTTCTTCATGCACCAGCCCACATGACTTGCAAATCCTTTCTTTTTGCTACGCCCGAACGTAGAAATACCTAGGAAATGGTGCCCCCCAATGGCTTTGCAGCAGCCCTGGAAGCTGGTCTCTGGGATGTTTACTGGGATCTAAGCAGAAGGGAATTGGGATGTTACATTTCTAGCAATGGCTTCCTCCTTCCAACCTGTTAATTGATCAGTGGAGTTAAGCAACCAGGAACAAAAACAAATCTGGACTCAAAACTTGATTTGTGGAGGGACCCTGGGGACACGCCTAGTCTCTGCTTCATGACTCAGTTTCCCTAGCTATAACAAGTATAAGAGGCAATGGTGCCTCCCACTCCGTTTATTACAAGGGTTATTTTAACAATCTGGTTGGTGCTGGCTATAAAGGGATCAAAGTGCATGGACGCTGGAGGCAGGGTCAGAAATTCAACCCTTTCCGCTAAGTTGGACTGATCCTCCTCTCCGGTGGAGCTATGGTTCATTGACCCCAGCTGGGATCTGGCTCCATTGGCCCTGCAGTGGATAGGAGGAGTGCTGGCCTTTTCCGAACATCCCAACTTTGTTAATGTTACCCTCAGGGGAGATTGAATCAAGCTGTGATCAGTGCTGTGTGCTTTGTTTTGCTTGACATCTTAATGCCAGTCATAATAAAAGTTGTTTTAATTTGGTACTGTCCTCATTGTAAGTGTGGCTGCTGTTGTGGGCCCCCAGATCCACCTCCAGAAATAGCTTTATAGTCCTCAACCTTTTGTGACCTAGGGAAGGAGAGCAAACTTGGAACCTTCTAGTCAGATTGGCAATCCACACCCATATAGATTATATTATACTTCACCCCCAGGCAACACCGGCTCCTGAGGGGCAGCAGGCTCCCCGGGAGTAGGGCCGGAGCCCCCTGGCTGCTAGCCCCACTTCCGGGGGCAATAGAACAGTTGAGTAACCGATAAGAATTAATGAGGCTACTTGGCTATTCGATTAACTGATATTTAACGTCCGTACTTTGGACTGGGGAGCTCGCTGAGGGTGAGGAAGGAAACCCCCCCAGCCGGGGATCCTGGGGCTTTCACACAAGGGTCTCGGGAACCAATCGTGTCGCAGCCTGTGCTAACATTTTCCTTACAGTGGCCTGTATCCTGGGCCCCACAGTGCCCCCTGCTGGGGTTGGAATGTCTGAGCACTCCCCCGCACAGCCAGGGTCCCTGCATTGGGCCCCACCGCACCCCCTGCTGGGACTTGCATGGTTGGGAGGTCCTCCCATGGAACCCTACCCTGCTCCCAACAGTGCCCCCGATGGAATTGACATGTCTGGAAGCTCTCTTCCCTACAGCCAGGGCCCTGGCCTGTGCTGAGCCTCCTGCTGGAGTTGTCATATCTGGGAGCTCTCCCCCCTCACACAACCAGGGCTCCTGCACTGTGTTCCACTGACCCCCTGATGGGGCTGGCATGTCTGGGAGCTACCCTCCCCCTCCCCCCATTCCCCACGGCACCCCCTGCTGGGGTTGGAATTGCTGGGAACTCCCCCCCCCCCCAGCCAGTCATCTTGCCCTTCTCCCAAAAGCACTCCCTGCTGGGCCAGACTGGGGCTGGAGTAGCCAGGAGCACCCTCTTCCCCCAGCCAGCTCTCCTGCCCCACATGAAAATGGCCATACTGGGGGAGACCAAAAGCCCATCTAGCCCAGTGTTCTGTCCTTACAGTGTCCCCTTGTGAGCCATGTTGGGGCTGGAGTGGCCAAAAGCTCCCGCTCAGCCAAGATCCTGCCCTGCTTCCTCTAGTGCCCCGGCTAGGACAGGCCAGCCTTTCACACACACAATCCAAACCTCACTGCCCTGTGTTTTCTGCTCCCTGCAGTGCAGTCGGTACCAGCCATAATAGCTCATTTCAGGGGGACGTCACCCTGAGCTGTTAGCCCGACACAGTTAGATCTATGATTTTACAGGTCAGAAGATGGGCTGTCGACAGTAATCTACGCCCTCCACATCTATCATCACTGTTGAGTGTAATTGAAACGCAGGGAGATTCGATAAAACAACAAGATCTTTCTTAGCTAATACAAATAAACTAACTGGCTACGTCTACACTGGCATGATTTTCCGGAAATGCTTTTAACAGAAAAGTTTTCCATGAAAAGCATTTTTGGAAAATCACATCTAGATTGGCAGGACGCTTTTCTGCAAAAGCACTTTGTGCGGAAAAGTATCCGTGGCCAATCAAGATGCCAGTCTAGACGCGCTTTTCCGCAAAAAAGCCCCGATCGCCATTTTAGCCATCGGGACTTTTTTGCAGAAAACAGTTCTGTGCTGTCTACACTTTTGCCCGAACGGGAGCAGCACGGTATTTCCACAAGAACACTGATGATCTTACATGAGATCGTCAGTGTTCTGGCTGCTTGAATTTCCGCAAGTGTAGACAGCTGGCAAGTTTTTCCACAAAAGCAAACGATTTTGTGGAAAAACTTGCCAGTCTAGACACAGCCACTAGGACTCCCTGCAACAGAACAATAACGGCTCAGGTGTTAACATGGATGTTACCAGAGATGTGCTGACCATCCATCCTGCAAAATCCGGGACAGTCCCGGTTTTTAATCTCCTGTCCCAGTGTCCCCGTGAAGCACCGAAATAGCCTGAAAAGCCCCAAGACTCCACATGCAGCGGCACGCTGCTGTTTCCCCTCCTCTTCCCTTGCTGGGGGAATAGGAGTCGTGGACACTTCCTGCTCAGTGGGAGCAGCCAGAGGCAGGGCCTGAGGGAGCACAGGAAAGCAAGTGATTTGCAACAGATGGGAACCCAGCATGGGGCTCAGCTGGACTGTGGGGGATGGGCAGGGAACCTGGGTGCAGGGCTCAGCTGAGCTGCAGGGAATGGGGGGGAAGGCACAGGGAACAGATGAGCAGCTCAGCTGGGCTGTGAGAGGGGCAGGGAACAGGTGCAAGGCTCAGCTGGGCTGTTGGGGGAGGGGTACAGGAAACTGACCCAGGCAGCATTTCAAAGGGGCAGTGCCACACAGCTGGTCCCAGGCTCAGTGCAGTGCTGCCCCTTTAAATGCTGCCATGGCATTTCAAAGAGACAGCGCAGTGTGGAGCCTGGGGTTAGCTGGGAAATCCCAGGTTCACGGCTGCTGCAGGACGTGCCCCAGGGTTCTCTGTTCACAGTCCCTCGTGTGGGGCTGGTGGCAGCCAGGGCTGCACATGGACTCCAAGTCTGTGGCCCTCCGCGACTGCTGAGGTTGCCTGTATCTACGGGCCACCCCAGCAACAAGCGTGCCAAGCTGAGCAGAAGTCTCACATGCCTGGTCTCTCTTCCACCCTGTGGGGAGGGGAAGACTGGCTGGACCTGGTGCCTCACTGAGGCAGGCAGGCAGGCATTGGAAGGGAGGGACAGAGGTTGGATCAACCTCCCACTAGCATCAGGCAGGGATTTCCCATCCTGGGGAGGGAAATAGAGCCTAGGGGCCAGAGCACATCTGGGAGGAGTGAGTGTGTGTGTGTGTGCGGGGGGGGGGGGGCTTAGCACATCCCATTGTGGCTCCCAAGGAACACGAGACATGGATAACAGGTTTCATCCCTTTACTTTTATCACCAGTTTGTAAGACTCAGACTCTGTCCCAGGGCAGGACACTGAACTCTCGAGTGAAGACAAAGACAATCAAAGAAGCAGCCGGAGGCATTGGGCCGAGCAGAGCCACTGCCCCTTGAGGCAAGGGGGCACTAGTGGCCGACACACCGACACCAGCCAATCAGATCTTGCCGGGAAAGGTCCCTTCTTCCCTGCGTTCATCCCAGGCATTGACCTGAAAGAAACCAACATGCATCATGGGATCAGAAGGAAGGCGCTTGGGCTGGTGGCAGAATGGGATGGATGGAGATGGCCAGGGCTGAAGCTGGCTGAGTCACGGCTCTTTCCCCTCCTGCCTGGCAGAAGGCTGGAATTTTCGGCATCATTCTGACCGCAAGATAGAATTGTGATTAGTGCCTCATGGGAGTTGTAGTTCAAAGACTTCACATCTCCATTCTATATCAACTGGGCATGCTGATGGACTACAACTCCCATGATGCACCACAACCTTCTGTTGGGGGAAGCAATTCAGTCAGGGCATCCCCTGACCACAGTGCATCATGGGAAACAGAGGACAAGGAGGAGAATGTAGCAGGCCAGGGTCAGCAGCATGATTAACAGCAGCTGTTTAGCAGCACATGCTGCTGATTCACTCCAGACCCTGCCACCTTCCTAGTGGTTCCACTAGAGGAAGGGCAGGCCCATGGGTGCAGTCCAGGACTTCCCATCCAGGGGACAAGGCAACTATTCCAACTGCCCTCCCCACAGGGGTGCTGCGACCAGAGTGAGGTGTGCAGGAACCCAAGTGGGGGGCAAAGATGGGGCACTGATCCACTCAGCTATGCTCCAATCAAGGGGACCCCAGCTGGAGATTCTTAAAAGGAACTTCCTGGATCCCACAATCCTTTGGGCCTGCAAGGGATTATGGGAGCCGAGTCTCTAGTGGGGCCACTGTAGTTAAAGGCACTCACACTCAGATGCATTTTGGCTTCCCAGAAATGCCAAGTGGCTCTTATGTCTTGTCTCTAGTTGGAATCCTCTTCCCTACCCTCCTCACCCCGCTTTCTAGCCAAGAGCCTTCCAGCCCAGCTGAAGGAGAGACACCCAAGCAAACACCCAGCCTTCTGCAGCGACCTACCCAAGAAATGGGACAGAGTGACTTGTACACACGACGGTACCACTGGCAGCACGTGGCGTCAGCTCCCTTGGCCGCCATGGCTTTCTCGCAGCGATGGAAGTCTGAGAGAGAAAGGGGAGGGGAGAAATGTTCAAGTAAGGATGTTAAGTATCAGGTAATTGACTAATCAAACAGTTGATGCATTTTGCATCAACTAGTCAATAGGGTGTCTCCACCTCTGAAGTGCAGCAACAGCTCTAGGGCTGTTGCTATACTTCAATGGTGAAAGCACCAAATGGAGCCCAGGATCAGCTGGGGACTCTGAGTGGCACTGCCACTTTGAGACACCACGAGGAGCCTGATGCTGGGCTCCCCGCAGCTTTTCAAAGTAGCAGCGCAGTACGGAGCCTGGGGTCAGCATTTGCTTATTGGATAGTTGACTAGTCCTTCACTTCCGTAGTTTCAAGGCTAGAAAAATTCCCCAAGGGACACCCGCTGATGCTTTCCAGGATGGAGGAGCTGTTTTATGGATTCGACGTCCAGATGGGACCACTGTGATCATCTGCCTCCCATCTGCCATAACCGTCCCGGAGCAGATCTTTTAGGGAAACAGCCAGTGGGGACTTTCATCACCAGTGATAGTGAATCCGCCATGCTCCTTAGGGAACCGTTCCAGTGGTTAATACGCACAGGATTTCCAGGCTGACATTGTCTAGCTCCCACTGCCTGCCCCTGGATGGGGTTTGCTAGACTGAAAACCCACAAATATTTGTTCCCCAGCACAGGAACAGAAGCCCACATAGAATGTGGGTGAACAGTGGTTTGAAATCAAGTTTGGACTTTAGCAGGAGCAACCAGCCCAAAGCACGTGGCCAAAACGAATGAGATGGGGGAAGAGGAACAGCTGAGAGGAACTGGTAAGGATCCTTCGTGCTATCAGTGTTATCTCACTTAAGAAAAGTTAAACAAGGTTAACTGCGTTGCAGCACAATACATTGACTATTTAAGAAATTGCTTCATCTGGGCATAGCTGAAGTCTGATAATTGCCAATGACATCACAAGTGTTCTCTGCTAGTACCCACCTGACCAGGTTGGAGGTGACAAAAATGAGACCAGGTCTAACACCACAGGTCTGCAGTGTAGAACAGTTCCTTGTGGATCCATTCCCCGCCCATGAAATAGAGTTATACTGACCTTAGTGCTATCTTTGAGGGAGGGAAGACTATGTGGACAGGAGAGCTCCTCCCATCAATACAGCTAGCACGGCTCAGGGAGGTGGACTAACTAGTCGACAGGAGAGCTCTATTGACGGCATAGGAACCTCTTCACTAAGCGCTGAAGAAGCATTTTAAGTGTCAACCTGCCTTGGCTCTAAGCCAGTGTTTCCTGTAAACTGTGCACTTGTGCTGCCGCTCAGGAGAGATTCAAATGCTGCCCAGCTGATCAGCAGACTCCCCGCAGCTAGATCTGTTTCCTATTGGTGGTGCACATTTATACATGCCTCGATGCACACAAAACTATTCTGCACATGGATGGAAAAGATGAGCGGAAACATTGAGTCTAGCCTGTTTGTAAGTATCTTGGTCAACTGCTTGTCAATGTTTTGTTGCTGTCTGGAGGCAGCAAGCTGCTTACTAAATAAGTGTCTTTAGAGTAACTGAATCAATACTGCTCGGCCTTTGGATCTGAAACAGGCATTTCTGGTTAGTGTCAGGGAAATTCTGTTGGTAATAGCTCCAGCTACTAGGTAGGTACTTGCAGACTGGGATCAAGCCACCTTTAATCTTCTCCCGAACCTAAACATTCTGAGCTCCTGCCTAACCCTTTAAGTTCTCTAACCCGTGAATTTTTCTCCTGGCTCTTCTCTAAACCTTTCCCAACTTCTCAGCCTCTGACTTGAACTGTGGTCGCACCTGTGCTGAATATAAAGGGAAAATCTACCGCCCGGCTCCTATTCAGGATTCCTCTGACACATCCCAGGACTGCAATGCCCCTTTCGGCCATACAGAATGTGCGTTCAGTTGATTACCTGCCATTACCCCCAGATCAGTTTTGGCCACTGCTGTCTGACTTCTTGCCAGTCAGTGCAGTGAAACAGACGTTTATTTTTGTGGCTGGTTCGGTATATCTCATGGGAGACTAACCACCGGTTCTGGGGTGTGTTTGCCCTGCGTCTTAGCAGTGTGTCCTCAATCTGACACGCCCAGTTTTACCCACTGAGACTTGGCTCCTCTTATTCCCAATAGGGATGTTACATTGCGTTTAATCAGCTAATCAACTGGTCAATGGAATTTCCATCAACTACTCGATAAGGGGAAAAACGGCAGAGCTGCAGCGGGGTTAGCTCCAGGCCCCGGGAGCTAACCCCACTGCTGCTCTCCCTTTTAAATGAGAGAAGAGCCGTCCGATATGCTGATCAGGTGTTAACTAATGGCTTACATCCCTAATTCCCGAGAGAGAGCTCTCCCAAACGAAAGGCTGAGGGTTTCAAACACCAGCGACTGACAGCATCGGTGTAGCTTCCTTCAGGCCTAATAGTGACAGGTGCTGATCATGGGAAGTCAGTGGATATTGACAGCCAGGTGATAGCCCTTCTTCTGTACAGCCCCTGCGGACACAGCCTGCATCTCCTCTACTTTCTAGTGCAGCTTAGATTGAGGGCTCGGCACTAATCTGCCCCCTCCCCCCATTACTGTAGTATCTGAGCACCTTTAAAAATTTTCCATGCATCAGTTTCACCAGAATTTAAGATTTTGCAGGAACATGCTGCTTTTGATCATTTTCATAAGAACGGCCTGACTGGGTCAGAACAAAGGTCCCTCTGGCCCAGCGTCCTGTCGGCCGACAGTAGCCAGTGCCAGGTTCCCGAGGGAGTGAACAGAACAGGGAATCATCATGTGATCCCTCCCCTGGCGCCCATTCCCAGTGTCCGACAAACAGAGGCTAGAGACAGCCTCCCTGCCCATTTTCAATGGGAAAGAGCCAAAACAAGTCCTTCTATCAAGGCAAAAAAGCGTAGTTGCTACTTTATCATATTAAAGCGAATACGTTAAAATATAAACAATTATAGATTATATTTATTAGCAAAGTCAAAGCAAAACATTGTGATGACTCTGAATCAAGTTGGGGGGGGGGGGGGGAGAATTTTGTTCCATGGAGAATTCTGAAAATTCAACTTTTTGTTCTTATTTGGTATCAAAAAGTTCAGATTTTCCCACTAAAAAGAAAACCCAGCTTCTAACTGGCTCTGTTTTAATGGGTTTATTCTTACCACACTCCTGTGAGGCAGGGCAGTGCTGTTATACCCATTGCTGGGGAAACTGAGGTACACAGCAAGGCTAAGCAACCAACATCACAAATGGAGCAGGAACCAGGTCTCTGCAGTTCCAGGCTAGCAATGCCCTAACCACTAGGCCATCCATTATTTCATTACCGAGATAATATGTTAGCAAAGCACTGAAAAGAGGATATTTAAGCTGAATATTATTTAGGTCTTGTATGATAAAAACTAAAAAGCCCAGAGCTAGATCTTCCCTTGCAGTGCTAGAAACCAGACAACAGCGATATGGTTAAACACACATGCCACACGCAGATTTTGAAGGTTCTCTCCACCCTTCCCAGAGCACAATAATTCCTATTTTCCATCTTTCGCGGGTGAGATTTGAATGAAAGCTGCTGCAATATCACCCACACGGGCCCTGTTGAACTACTCACATGAGTAACAAGCTGAGACGTGGAGTAACTCAAGAGCCTGAGAAAAAATGAGGTGTTCAAAGCAAATCTGGATTCATGGATAGCTCTTCGGACCAAGTGAACTAGCCATCAGGAAGCACAATTCAGGATGGATTGCCTAGGACCAGATGGCACCACCAAGTTCGAGCAACTACAGCAGAGCATCTAATGAAGCCTTGTTAAGTTAGATTAACACCACCCTTGATCACCTTGGGGGCAGGATTTCTGTATTGTGCACTGCACAACAGCTAACACATCAACTGTCTCACTGGTGCCTCAAGCTTGCGGTGGCATGTGTCAGAGCTTTCTATTTCCTGGTTTTCAGAGCCCTCCCCTGCATTCTGGAGGGCAAGAGACAGGAACGGGCTGGCTTAAACTGCATGAAGACGACCACTGACATGCGCTTAATGGAATGTGAAACAAACTATTATTGCGCTCAACACATGAACGGCCAGGTACAATCTAGGGATATAAGCAAGTAATCGAGTACTCAACTACTCGCTCCCCGCCCCCGTATCAGAGGCAGCAAGGGGCAGATAAGCAGGAGCCAGTGCTAGGGTGGAGCTGGTTTAAAAGCCGGTTCCCAATACTGTCTCCATGCTGCTGCCTCTATCAGAGACAGCACATGGGGGGAGGGAGGGAGCCAGGGGAGGTTGCAGCGAAGCAGCCTCTGCCCCCGGTGGGCCCAGGCTCTCTGTGAACAGAGGCTGCTCCAGCAGCAGCCCCTGTCCATGGGTAGTCCCAGCAGGGGGAGGGTGGATCTGGCACAAGCCAGGATTGCTCAGTCCTGGCTCGCACTGGGTCCGAAAGTTACCCCCTGCTTACGCACCTGGCTTTTACTACATTTAAACTGCAGAGCCTCAGCAGGGGGACATAAGAACAGTCATACTAAGTCAGACCAAAGGTCCATCTAGCCCAGCATCCTGTCTGTCATCAGTGACCAATGCAAGATGCCCCAAAGGGAGAGAAGAGAACAGGGAATTTCAAGCAGTCCCTCTCCCATTACCCATTCCCAGCCTCTGACAGAGGCTAGGGACACCATTCCTACCCAGCCTGGCTACTAGCCATTGATGGACCTAATCTCCATGAATGTATCTAGTTCTTTCTTGAACCCCAGCCTTCACAACCTCCTCTGGTAAGGAGTTCCACAGGCCGACCGTGCACAGCATGAAGAAAAACTTCCTTTGGTTTGTTTTAAACCTGCTACCTATTAATTTCATTTGGTGGCCTCTAGTTCTTATGTTATGGGAACAAGTAAATAACTTTTCCTTATTCACTTTTTCCCACACCAGTCAAGATTTTATACACGTCTGTCATATCCCCCCTTAGTCTTCTCTTTTCTAAGCTGAAAAGTCCCTGTCTTTTAATCTCTCTGCATATGGCAACTGCTCCAAATGCCTCATCATTTTTGTTGATCTTTTCTGAACCTTTTCCAATGCCAATATATCTTTTTTGAGATGAGGTGACCACATCTGTACTCCGTATTCAAGATGTTGGCATACCATGGATTTATATAGAGGCAATAAGATGTTCTCTGTCCAGATAGCTCCTAGACTGGCACCAGTCAGGACTGAGGAAGCCTTCCCTCATTGACTAATGGCGTAGTTGAACAAAGAGGTAGTTGACCAGTCTCTTAACATCCTTAGTACAATCCTCCGGCCTAGGTTATCTAGTAGTTCAGACTATGAGTGAATAGGTCCTGCTAGCTTTTACATTTATTAATCACACCCAGGGGTCTTCAGAGGATCTACACACCATTCATGGAACCCTGTTATTCTGCAGATACCCCCTTATAGCCACAGACCAGGTGTGGATTGGTTGCGGATAACATTCTGTATCCATGTGGGGCTCTAAGCAAGTGTGAAGTTAAGTGGGTTCTTAGGTCTTTGCCAAATTAGAGCTTCGGGTTATAAATTCCTCAAGGCAAAGATTGTCTTTTCATGGCATGTGTACTAAGCACTCAGTACAATAGGACCACCCCATGGATTGAGGCCATTAGATGCTACTTTAACGATGCAGAAATTAGTTAGCTAAAGGAGGGGAAAGCAAAAGTTTTCATCATTGCCTTGGGATTTCTAACAATTTACAGACTATGAACAATCTAAACTATTGTCAGGAAGTGAAACATCCTAGGCTGTGTCACCACCAGTCAATGCAAACAAGCTACATCAGAGTTCAAATCATCCAGCTGCTATTAGCCTCTCTCACCAAGGTAGTTCTGCCAGCAGTTGCGAGTCTGGTTTTGATTTGGGAACCTGCTGTCGAATGGAGCAGTCCTGTAGTTGTCCAGCTTGGCCTGGATGCTGTCCGCCATTTTTGTTCTAGACAGAGGGAGGAAAAAAAATAATCCCATCATTTGTATTGTGGCAGCACTTTAAGATTCCCAACACAGCCTGCCCCAGCTAGGATTAGGGCACTGTTGTGCCAGGCACTGCAAGAGGCAGGCCCTGCCCCAAGGAGCTAACAATTTAGCCCAAGCAAACCCTCTGAGCCTGGAGCAGCAGGACCCCCCAGCAAACACGAGGGCATCCAGATCATCGGCATCTCCCCACTTCGCTCTGGGATCTGGGGGGGATTTACCGCTACGTTCCCACCCCAGGAAGCAGCAAGGGCAGCCCCCTTCCAGCTACTGCAG